GAGGACGGAAGTAGAACATCCTAAAGGTGGATTCTCTGGTCCAGTCCGCCGCTCGTATGATGTCCGAAAGGGAAGCACCTGCCGCATAAGCAGAAGAGGCCGCTGCCCCGCGTACAGAATGTGCTCCAAAAGTTTGGTCAATACCGGCAAGGGATATTAGCCATCTAACACATCTGGCCAACGTAGTAACCGAAACTGGACCGTAGGGGCGGATGTAAGAGATGAGAAGTTGATGCGTGGAAGGTTGCCGCAACGTTGCGGTAGCTTCCACGTATTGACGGAGAGTAGAGACCACGCAGAGCTGAGAGTCAGAAGGGAAGAAAGGGTAGAAGACCGAGAGAGAGTTGGACTTAGTGCGTCGTGAGACCTGAAAGGTAACCCCCGCCGGGCAGAAGGTAAAAGCATCTGTGTCGAAAGCGCGTACGTCGGATACCCGTCGAAAGGAAACTAGACAGAGCAAGACAATTTTGCGGTGAGTTGGTGGAGTGACAGGTCCTTATTAGGAGGCCAATTTCGTAAGAATTGTAGGACCACGCCAACGTCCCAAAGTCTAGAGTATTTGGGCTCCGGGGGGCACCAAAGGCGCATGCCGCGGAGGAGTCTGCAGATGAGCGGATCCTTACCAACCGTCCCCTGGGTCGGAGTATGGGCCGTTGAGATGGCTGATCGTACCACGTTGATGGACCGGTATGACTTCCCGGCAGTGAACAGAGAGGTCAGGAAATTCATGATGGAGTGAGTAGGTGCAGTAAAGGGATTGAGGTCCCATCCCACACACCAACTTGTCCAGGAGTGCCATGCTGATAAATAGCACCTCCTTCTTCCTGGTGCCCATGAGTCCCATAGGAGGTCCTTAGTTTCCTGCGATAAGTCCTCGGTTCGCCAGGAACCCCGGAAAGAGTCCAGGCCACATGGGACAGGCGTTCCTGCATGACCAGCGGGTGAGGTAGACCCAACGGGTTTCTGAGGATAGTTGGAGCATCTGGTAGGAGGAGGGGATCCTTGATTGACAGTTCCAGAAGGTCCGGGAACTATGGCTGGCTCTGCCAAAGAGGCGTGATGAGGATTATCCTCACTCTCTGCAGGCGGATCCGGTGAAGGACCCTCGTTATCATTGCGAAAGGTGGGAATGCGTAAGCACCATATCGAGGCCATTGTTGTAGGAAAGCGTCCGTTGCGAGGCTCTCCGGGTCTGGGAGCCAGCTGAAGAAATCCTTCATCTGTCGGTTGTTGCGGGACGCGAATAGGTCTAGGGAGAAAGGTCCCCTCTGTACATCCAGTATTGTGAAAATATGAGGGTCTAGTTGCCAATCGCCGGCGTCCCGCCAGTGGCATGAATACCAATCCGCTGTCTCTGCCAGCAAAGTGATGTTGCGTGGCAAGCAATAATTGAAGATCTCTTTCGTGAGATCCACCAGTGCCTGAGAACGAGTACCTCCAAGGCGGTTGATGTATCTTACCGCTGAGACGTTGTCCATGCCGAGCAGGATGCAGCAGTTGGATCGTTCCTTTGCCAGGCTGCGAATGGCGAATGATCCGGCCAGGAGTTCCAGGCAAATGATGTGCATCGAGAGCTCTTCAGCAGTCCATACTCCTCCTGTGGAGGAGGTTCCGTCCGTTGCTCCCCAGCCTGAACGACTGGCATCTGATTCCAGCACGAAGTCTGGCTGGTTCCCGAATATGGCCCTGCCGTTCCAAGCCTGCATGCAGTTCAGCCACCAGCGTAGTTCCTCCCGAACTTCGTCCGACATTGGAACCGGTTGCTCGTATGTAGGGTTTCTGCGAAGGAATCTTGCCTTGAGGCGCTGCATGGCCCTGTAGTGCAGACGTCCGGGGAAAATGGCCTGGATGGATGCGGAGAGAAGGCCTACGATCCGTGCCAGTAGTCGTACGGGTATGGTTGTCCGTCGAAGGACTTTCCGGATCTCTCTGCAGGTGGCTGTAATTTTTGTTGCTGGGAGGTGAAGAGTGCATGATGTGGAGTCTATTACAAACCCGGGGAATTGAATTGATTGAGTCGGGATCATTGCGGACTTCGGATGATTGACGACGAAACCTAGAGACTCGAATAGGTGTACTGTGTAGTTCGTGTGTGTCCTCAGAGTCCTTGCATCCTCGTCGAAGATCAAGATGTCGTCGAGGTAGATGATGCATCTTATGCCTTGAGCTCTGAGTCTCGCCACTACTGGCTTCATAATCTTGGTGAAGCACCACGGGGCCGAACTGAGGCCAAACGGGAGGCAGGTGAATTGCCAGGGTGTCCCGTGCCAGAAGAAGCGGAGGTAGGGATGGCTGCTTCTGTGTACTGGAATAGTAAGTTACGCATTCCTGAGGTCCAGATGGGTAAACCAGTCGTTGTGTCGAAGCAAGTCCCGGAGAAGGTGGATACCTTCCATTTTGAAATGTCGATATATCACGTGAGAATTGAGCTCCCTGAGGTTGATAACGGAGCGAAATTTGCCGGTTTTCTTTCTGACCAGGAAGATATTGCTGTAGAAACCTGTTGTCCGGAGCTGGTTGGATGGCACCCTTGGTGTGTAGTTCTCATAGTTCCGAGTCTATGAGACGGGCATCTGCCCGTGTAGTCTAGATCGGACGTGGAGGGGCCTGCTGGAGCGGGGTTGAGTCGAACTCTATTTGATAGCCCCCTCACCGTTTGGAGGACCCACGTGTCTGAAGATAGGTCTGCCCAGTTCTGAAAAAAAAAGAGAAACACGACCTGCGATATGGCAGGAGGTTAGAGGCAAGGTAGAATGTTGACTTACCGTTGGAGAATCTTGCCCGGGAGCATCCTCGGCTGCCTCGGCCGCGATCTGATCCCCTGATCACGGCCCCTCTGCCATCCAGCCCTTCCAAAAACACCTCGGGTGTGAGAACCGCGGAAGACTTTCCGCATCGAAGTTTGCGCCTTGTTAAGGGACGTAAATATATTGACCCTTTTGTTCAATTCTTTAAGGAAGGCCTCTCCAAACAATTTACCCTGTGCCAAGGGGCCTAATTCTTTGTCCCCCAGTTCGACAAGTTTTTCGTCAATACGGTAAAGTGCTGCTTGGCGCCTCTCCGAAGAGAGGGCTACGTTGGTGTTCCCTAGGAAACAGAAACATCTCTGTGCCCATTCACGGGTATCTCGTGCCCATTCACGCACCGTATCTGGGGTAAAATCGTCAGCCCTCTCATAGGCGTCATCCGCCATACTCATAATTCTAGCTAGAGGCCCAATGGCGTCTAGCAGTTTGTCCTGCGCTCCTTTAAAACCACGCTCTATGCCCTTGTGCGGGTCCCGAGCCCCTCGGGACATGAAAGTAGTCATGAGTGGGTCAAATTCGGGGGTGTGCGCCACCTTGTCTGGTAGGCTAGGCCGAGGGCATTCTGATCTCATCCGTTTCCTTACTTCCTTGTCAGATTTCCTGAGCCAGAAGTGCATAAGCTTTGCCAAATGTTCGGGTGGTGACCATTCTTCTGAACGGGGATGACGGATGTTTCTCGGGTCAAACATTTGGAGACCCGAATTGTCAAGGAAAATCTCTGTGCCCTCCTGTGGGTTATCCATGGATGTAGCCATAGAGTCCTGGGGCTCACCCAGAATCTGTTCCCTTATTGAATAAGGGTCAGAGTTGGCCGCGGAGTCTATATTGGAGTCCTCCAGGTCAGAGACCGCCGCCTGCCATTCATCCAGCACAGCTAGTACATGTGTGGGTTCTGAGTCTTCCTCACCTGTGGAAACCTGTGTGGGGTCGTGGGTAGTACGAGCCATGGCTTTTCTGTGTTTAGCAGGGGCGTTTTAGCCTTAGATTTGCGTGGCGCAGCGACCTCACCCTTCCAATGGCGTTTAGGCTGACGGGAGCGCTCTCTGGAGGAGTCGGAGTCTTCGGAGTCCGCTCTATAGTGAACCCGTTTAGAGATGAGTTTAGGGGTGTCTAGATCTGTCGGAAGCGACTTAGAAGAGGCCTTTTCCATAGCTGCAACCACAGCTGCTGTGATCATGGCCTGGAGGTCTGAGGAGGTTTGTGATTCCTCCATGATTTGGAATAGGTATAGATTTGCGTGAGGGCACTTTGGCACAATTCGTGGAGAGGCCTGGGGACCAGGGGTGGTATGGTATCGGTAATGGTTAACATGAGACTAGAGACCGGTAGGTCGTAGTAGTGATGATGAGAGGGCTGTGTCACTGGGGCTCACCCAGGTAATCGGAATCCTGCATGAACAGGTCCGCTTAGCAGCACAAAACGGGGGCTCACCCCGGCCAGAATAAGGTACAGTCCAACTGGCTTAAACCAACCCCAAGTGCTAGGCACTAACTTGATTTGGAGTGAAGAGGCAGGATGTAATAAAGATTTCCTGTTGCTTGCAGTTGATAGCTGGAGCAGGTAGCTGACAGTGCTTATCCCTTTAAGATGGCCACCGGACTAACGGCGGTTAGTATGGGGAGGATAGAACCTCCCCTAGTTTGGGCAGCAAAACTAGACGCCTGGCGTTTGTGTGATAAAACAGCCGAACATGCGCCTAGTAATATTGGTCACGAGCACCTAAAAAGGCGATCGCGCCAAACCGCCGAACGGAAGCAGAAAAAAGAAGAAAGAGGCACTATATAGTATCCCAAGCAAAAACCAGAAAACAGTGCCAAAACACCCAGAAGTGTACCTCACATACACCAATACAATATAAACAAAGGGGTAAGTCTATACTGTATCAAATACTAGTATAGACTAAAGGGGTGGCACAACAAACATGAACCATACAACCTGTATACACTATAACACAGTTCTTCAAAGAATCTAAAATATGAAAAAAATCACATAATAGTGAAGCATGTACAGGAATATATGATTCAGTCCCGTAGATAGAGAACTTACAAGACCGTGCTGTAGATCTGCGCTTATCTCCCTTCCATAGGGTATTAAAGTAGCGTATTCTTTCTCAGTAGGCTTGTGTGTATGGACCAAAAAGGCGTAGATTCAGAACACCCAATCCTCAAATAAAAAGAGGTATATAGAGCAGTATTGCAAACAAAAATAGATTTATTAATACAAATTGCACTTACATCAAGTGAAGATTATAGCAGCATATCACCACTCACAAGTGGTACCGAGGAAAGGAAGTCCCTCTGTGATAGTATAAAAATATAAAAAGTAATTGTATACTAAAAACAATAAAATAACAGAAAAGAAAAAAGTATTCCTGATCAATATCCAACGCGTTTCGTCTATGTAGACTTCTTCAGGGATAAGAAAATGTCCAGAAAGTCCTTCTTTTATAAGCCTCCAAAACGATCTTGAAAATGCCGCGGAAAAACCTTTACTTCCGGGTTTCGGTCTTGCCTCATTCTGATTGGTTGAACAAAATAACCCTCTCAGACGGATGTAGAACAAGATCTCACTTCCGCGTTCCATACTGGAACGCAAAACATCCATAACACATAATACAATATCCTCAGCTGTACTTCCGCGTTCCACCGTGGAACGCACGGAAGACCAGACAGCCCATCGGCTGTAAGGAGAACCGGGCGTCCCAAGCTGGAGAGCTGTCTCTAAACTTTACCCAATATAAAATATATATATATACACAATACAATATAAAAAATAATAATTAATAGTAAATAATCTGCAAAGAAATATAAAGAAATATAATGAAATGTGAAAATAAAAATAAAATTAAAATAAAAGTATATACATATATATGTAAGTATCATGGATACCAAAAAAGTTATATATAGAGAGATCACAATTTGAGGAAGTCACAATTAAGGCAACACTATCTATATATAAAAAAATGTCATAAATACAACATATCATCCCCACAAAAAGATATAAGGAAAAAATGGGTTTACATATGCCACCCTTACATAAAAATGTACAATACCCAAGAAAGATGTATATGGGCATACACATACATGCATGCACGCACATCTATACATACATACATACATGCGCATGCACACACATCTTCATATCAAGAAAAATACATATATATATACACACAACATCCACCAAAAAAAATGTGGATATCCCAAAAAATATATATATATATATGTGTATATATATAACCACACATCAAAAGACACTCACATAGATATAATACTATACACGAAAAAAAGGGGGACTTCTTTATCATGAAATGAATGGTAAATTCGTAATGATTAAAGGAGCCCTCCCAAATCTATATCTTGGTTAAGACCTCTCTTCAAAGTGTTTAATGTATAGATCCAAAAAGCCTCCTTTTTAGCTAAATCGTTAATTCTACTTCCTCCTCTCCAATGTGGAGTTACCTGGTCTATACCAATGGCCATAAAGGTAGACCAATTAAACATATTACAGGAATTGCAGTGATTTGGAACACTGTGCTCTACCTTATGTGTCCTAATATTATTGAAATGTTCACGGAGTCTAGTATGCAGGGTTCTGGTAGTTCTTCCTACATATTGAGATCCACATCCACATTGTAAAAGATAAATCACATATGTGGATGTACAATGTATAAATTTCTTTATATTATATATCTGATTGGTATAAGATCCCACAAAAGATGTAGATTTCCTTTTTTGATGGGTACATGTAGAACATGTTCCACATTTGTAGAAACCTGGAGTTTTTTTGAGTTGTAAAAAATTCTTTGGATTTGGACTTTTTATCAATTTGGGTAATAGACTAGGTGCCAATTGGTTTTTAAGATTATCTGCCTTTCTGTATATAACTATAGGCTTTTCTGGGATTTTTTTCTCCTAAGACATCATCTTTTTTCAAAATGGCCCAGTGCTTTTTAAGAATTTTTTCTATTTTTTTTAGCTTCAGAACTATATTTAGTAATAAAAGCAAACTCCATATGTCTGTTATTAGTTCTATTTTTGTGTTTTGGGTTTTTTTCCATCAAGAATTCCGTACGTTCTCTATTTTTTATTTTTATAATATCTTCTTGTATTTGATCTATATTATACCCCTTTTCCACATATCTATTCTGTATTAATTTTGATTGTTCTTCAAACATTTGGACATTGGAGCAATTTCTTCTCATTCGAGTTATTTGGCCTTTCGGAACATTGTTGAGCCATACTGGATGATGTAAGCTAGTCTTTTTAATTGCTGTATTACAGTCAGTTTTTTAAAAAGAAAGTTTTGGTGTTAAGAATCTCATTTTCTACATACAGAGTTAGATCCAAAAAATCTATAGTTGTCGGGTGGATATTGGAAGTAAAGTTTAAATTATATTCATTTGAGTTAATGATTTCAATAAATCTCTCTAGACTCTGAACATCTCCCTCCCAAATAATAAGTACATCATCAATGTAGCGTCGCCATAGGACGAGGTTCCCCCCTGTATATGGTCCCAACCGGATGCATGAAGCCTCCCAGTGGGATACATATAAGTTAGCAAAACTGGGGGCGAACCTCGTTCCCATGGCGACGCCACACCGCTGCAAGTAAAAAGCAGAATCAAACCAAAAGAAGTTTTTTTCCAGAACAAACTGGATACAAGACACCAAAAAATCAATCTGTTGTGTACTTAAAGTCTGTTGTAGGACTTAAACGTCCCTGATAACCTCCAAACCCTTTCCATGCGGGATATTGGAGTACAGGGAGGTAACGTCCGCGTTCGGTAGAAAAAAACCGAATCGTTTGTGTTCGAACGCACAGAAAAAAACGCGGGCGTTCGGGACTAAAAGCGAACGCGCCAAACTGTCGAACGAGAAACGTTCGGTTGAAAAAACCGATACATCTGTGTGCGAGCGCACAGGAAAAAATCGTGCCCTACCTGAGAGAAGGCAGAGAGGGGGAAAAAAACATGAAGGGGGTATGGAAGGCGGGGGAGCCGTGGTATGTACCTGGGAAGCCAAAGGTAAAGTCCCAAGGTAGAAAACAGGGGGAAGAAAGGTTCCTGAGGAAACAAGGGGGCAGACCTCAGGGGAGAGGGGTTAGCCCCACAAAATGGGGTCAATAGTTAAATATATAAATAGGAATAAGTATAGGTAAAGGTACAAAAGTCACAGCTATGTAAAATAATGACAATGTGTAAAATATGAGCTGAATAATGAGAAACCAAATTTTGTACTTAGCTTGTGATGGAGCAGCAAAGAAAGAGGAAATGATGTCATGTGTTACACCTCTTATACTCTATACTGCATTGTGATTGGTTCTCAGTTTTGTCACTCTTTTCTTTGCTGCTATGGAGTTAGTAAAGAAAGATTATGCAAAATACGAAGCCTCCTGTCATGTGATAAAATTATTAGCGATGTAATTATTAGAGATGTAAGAAGTATTGAAGGCAATCAAAAGGCCGTTATGACCAAGGGGACTTGGATTATAAATTTTAATGATTGGTATATCTCTCTACAGGGGGTATACTCCACAGTACACTGCTTAAATCTAGTGGAAATATAATATAAACTGTCCAATAGAAGGTATTTAACCCCTGCTCGAATAGCAAAAATGTGTCCTGCAGAGATTTCTTCTTGTTGGAGATGTGGTCAAAGAGAGGTGAATGAAAGACACATTTGGTGGGATTGTCCCACAAGTCAATCTGGTTGGCAACAAATACTTTTAAATATTAATGGGTTCCTAGACATACGCCAGAGGTGGACACCGGACATGGTGTTGCTATACCTTAATATACCAGTTATGACCCATTACTGGTATGGCAGAGGGGGTATAGCCTTGCCTTAGGCCTCTTTTATAGAGACGAAATATAATTTTATTGAATACACAGATTATGGGATATACACGCGGGCGGTCTATGAAACCTGCCACCATTCACTTCCTATGGTCCTTTGAACTGATTATGTATTGCATGTAATGTCAGCCTTGCCGTTAAGCTTTTTGTAATTAAATAATCGTTACCCTATTAAAATATTATGGAGAATGTTTCGTACTTTATGTAAGTAATTTATTATGAAATTCAAAATAAAATAAAATAAATTTTTAAAAATTGATACTAGGCCTAATATCACGACAGGAACTGCTTTCTATAGAATACAGGAAAGCCTACAAATGCAGAATAATATCCAAGACTGACAATTATTTTAAAATATACAAATGAATTTTTGGAAATATGTGTTACAAAGTGTTAAAATTTTTATGCTATATTGGAAATTGACGTTATTAAATTATATACGTCTTGAAAATGGCTACTATTTTATGGAGAAATATATATACCTGCTTAAAAATGGTTTATGTTTGATGCGCAGATCTAGTCAATAGTAATGTAGACTAATCTACAAACAATAAAAGTATTTAGTAAAACAGAGGTTTCTACAAAAAAAAAAAACAAGCATATGTAGAAGCCTCTTTCAGCATAGGGAAGATAGCAGTAAGTATTAATCGGACTGTTTAACGGGCCAAAATAGCAATTGTTCAGCCTTAAGCCACACAGGAGTTGACATGCTGGCTGGCAATTTTCTGCATTACATTTTTAGAAATTGCTTCTTTTAGGATTGGGAAAGGATTTTCAAGAGAAAAATAACTGTATTTCTGATTAGCTGAACTGTAAAATATAAACATGCTGTGAACAGATGTGATGAAAGTTGGAGACTTGGAGCCTTAGACAGCGGCAACCAACTGTTGTGCCTGAGTGAAAAATAGTATTTTTGTATTTTCTTGGAAAAATATTTCTTCATAACGATCCCGCAGTTGATCCACATTTTAGGCAGCATTTTATTCTAATTCATAGGACTTTAGAAATGCTTACATAAGTAATAAGTAACAGCCTATGTAAATTGTAGTTGTCATGTGTATGGATGCATTTCAGCTTTTTGGCCAGAAAAGCAAAAAGAAAATAATTGAGAAAAATGCCTAAAATCTTCCTCTCAACAATTTTTAAAGTGCATTTTCAAGAGTGGAATATGCAATAGTTATCTTACACGAGAGGTACTTCATTGCATGCTTATCAGTCAATGTTCCATCTCCAGAGCTTTATTAACATTTTTAGTAGAAAAAAAAAGCAAAAATATGCTGTAAATATGTAATAATTCCTGTGAAGAAGATATGGGAACGTATGCTCATTCTTACCGGTACAATGCATTTTAGAGATAATGATGTTACAGAAGTACCCTATTTCTTATCACTAATATCTTTAGTTTTTGTCATTTTTATACTGACTCTCCAAAGCATGTGGATAATGTGTTAAACGTTTTACATTTAAAAAGATAACTACATTTGAAAATGTTTGTCCTGTACCAGAATCGTAGGCTCTAAGCATCATCTAGGAACCTACTTTTCAAACCTGTGACCACAATATCTCATCCAAGCAGTGGTCTGCAAGATAATTACTGTGCATATACAAATTATTATTATTATTATTGTTAATCTATAAAATATATTCTTCCAATTTGTTTCATAAAGCACCCATTTTAATATTATCCACAAAGGTTGAGTTCTCAGATAACTAAATCTGTGAGCAACTCGGGTGCATCTTGGTACCTATACCAATATTTTAATTCATCACACAGCATAGAACACGCACAAATAATCAGTTTGTAAATACCTGAAGATCATATTATTCCTCTATAAAAATAAAAAATACTGGAAAATTAAGATGAACCTGTCATTACATATATAGATTTGCAGTTTTCTAACCATCTGGCTTGACTTATGTTATACAATTTAGTGTTTCTTCCCGTAATACTATTAAAAGCTCAAATTGTATGTATTTCCATTTCCTCTGTGTTCTGCTGAGAGCATCAGTCATGTTTTTAGTGGGTGTTACATTTGCTTTAAGATACACTTCTCCAGCACACCACTGTTTTAGGAAGCAGAGACTTGCTTCCATAACAGATGTAACTGTTCTAACTCCCTTCTCCATTTGCATATTGCCTGTTCAAAGCTGTTGCAATAGATAATTCTGTCTACTCTCCATGCCGCTGGTGCTGCTATCACACAGTAGTCTGCTCCTCCTACTTCTTCACTTTAGTCTTAATTTTGACAGTAATTTTAGTTTTAGTCATACCTTTTTGACTAAAATGCCATTTTAGTATTAGTCAAATTTTAGTTATCTGAATTGTTTTAGTCAACTAATTATCTTAAGATTTTAGTTGACCTAATCTACAGTATATTTAGTCGTCTAAAATCTATGGGTTCAGTTAAAGTATTATTTAAGCATTTTTCTAGAATTTCCAAACTCATTACATATTCCTTAAGTAAACATATATTGAAGGGCACCCAGACCACTTCAGCTGATTGAAGTGGTCAGGGTGCAATGTCCCATGTCCCTCAACCCTATAGTGGTAATTATAGCAGTTTTTTTTTTTAAAATAGACATTTTAACAACTGCAACACAATTACTACCAATTGTCTAGTTCTACAATCAAACAATAGATCAAATACCTGCAAATAAAGGCTTGTCAATGTAACAGGAACAGACATATTGTAATACATCGGAGCTTTCATTTATGATTAATATTTAATACTAACATTTTCGGAGGAAAACAGATTTCCATTCGGCATGACAGAGGACTGTAGAACTATGTATTTTGCAGTCTGAATAAAAATGGAATTATCTGATATATGATAGTTGCTATTTTACCAGTTGTTTCATTACAGTTTGTTTCACCTACATATAAACACATAGAAAAATAAAATCGATGTTGCATTACTATATCAAAAATGTCATTCTTTATT